GATTGCACTCGTGAGAAGATCAACGGAACTCGCCTGCTTGTCCCGCGTCGCTGCTCCTATTGACTGCAAACTCAAGCATTGTGTCAATTTTTCGATCACTTTCATTTGTGCCTCCGTTTGAGATTGCTGTTGGAAAAGCAGCTTTTGAAATTGTTCAGCGGAAAAATTCACCACATTTTCAATTTTCTCCGTCGCCATTTGTTATAATCTTCTCACTAGACGCGATTCAAAAATGGGCACTTCACTGCTCCAAAAGCTTTTAACCCAACTGCAGGAAAAACTAGAACGCCAATGACCATCACAACATGACGTGCTGACCGTCGTCAACAAAACACTGTACAAACGCAGCGGACATTGGCTGTATTTATGAGTCACTTACTGACCTTCGACTTCTGGAATAGGAAGGTCAGCTTCCAAGGCTAATTATTCTACATAGTTTTGGCCGATCTTCGGGCGTTTCTGGTTACTTGCAGGCACTGGAATACTCTAGAACTTTCGAAATCGATGCAATAATCGACCACAATCAATTATTTGCCTAAATAATGGATTTTCCAAAGAATTCTTTTCTTCCCCCGTACTAAACCTCCAGTGCTTACGGCGGAGAAAAAAATGTTGGCTGTTTGGTTCCGCCGTTCAAGAGGACCATGTAGCAAATGATATCGGATACAAACTCCGGTGCGCTCTAACGCGCACGTACACGACTGCCCAGTTGCACCTTATGCACACTACCCGGAAACTGGTTCTTCATGCCAGTCAGAGCTACTCTTCGGCTAGTTCGACCTCATGTGGTTTGTCAGTTCACCTGCAGTTTCGGCGATGTTTAAATTGGCAGAATTAACCGTTGGTCGGCTCAGAGGGCAGCTGAGCACTTGCCAAAGTGGGTGGAACAAACGATGACGCAACAACATCTAGCGCCCCACAGAATGAATCGGAGTCCGTCATCATCTATCGCCAAGCACTTTTTGACAACCGGTCACCATGTGAACCCGAATAATGCGTTCAAGGTCGTATTACGTTATCGGAACCCGATAACGTTGGCAATCAGTGAAGCATTGCTAATTGGAGCTTGGCAACATTTGCTATGCACACAGAAACTCTTGAGGCCATCAAACAGATTGCCTTGGTCTTGTTTTTGACACTTTAATTGGTGTGCCAATGGCTTCAGATGTGTATATCTGTGTCTGTGTTTCTGCTTGTATTGTATTTACGACTGATAAGAACAATCAAACGGTTGACATATCGCGGTCTATGTCTTCTTTCTGCTTTGATGGAATGGCTGTAGGAGATCCAATGTTTTACGTTTTACATTATTTCGGGATCGAACTGCTGCAAGAATTAATCTAAGAACCAAAGTTTTACCATTTCCTCCTGGCGCATCTGAGAAGAAAATTGCTCCAACCGCGATATTGACAGTTTGCATTATTAGATCGTAAATGTCGTTTTGCTCAAATGATAGCTAGGAATATTGGATCGAGCATTCGACGAAAGATCACCCGTGTTGTAATTTTTTACTACGCAATTCGGCATCGATCGCAGTAGCTGCAGATCTATTCGGTGATGACATTCCCGTTTAATTTAGCGCTTTGTTCGCAATTTCTAAGCACAAATCTTCAATCATTATCAACGCTTCGTTATATATTTCTGCAGAAAAATCCATCTTCTTATCTGAATATCACTTGCGTATTCGATGGACAAAATCTTCAGCCATGTGCGATTTATATTTCTCCCTTAGCTCTGTTGCAGATGAAGGAAAGCAAGCAGTCAATATGATTGCAAACAATGCGCGAATTTGATTTGGATGTGACGAGTTGCACGCATCATTAATGCATAAATCCCAGTGTCGGTCGTTTTCCAATAAATTCAGAGCTTGACATGCATTGCGGAAACGGGCATGGTTAGCGCCGTTGACAAATCTCCTTTGCTGGAAAGGCGTTGGACCAGGCACATTTGCTGACAAAATGCGAAGAAAGAAAAGCGTTCATCTTGATTTGGAAGCACTGTGTACAGCCTGCCTATGGTAGTTTCCTTAAAGATGCCGGGTTGTCCGTCGACCAGCACTTCTCGTTTGCGTCGTTCAAATGCTTTTCTACTCGTATTCCATGTGTAATACGTAGGCACTACGGAATACAGCAGTTTTTTTCGCAAACATGTCATTTTGACAAAACGTGAAGAAAGTAGTAAACGTTGTAGCGGTTCTTCAATTTGAGGCAACACATTCCTTTCGCTTCTCCATTAAATTTCAGAGGTTTGCAATATGAACAGCATTCAGTCATAGGGACGAGGAGAACATGGCAACTCAAGCGGTAACACTCAGCTCGGTTGTACCGGTATGCAGGGCAATTGTAATCGCGCGATGGCTAAACACCGGGTCGTGTTTGAGACTGATCTGCTGTTTCTTGTTAAGGGCTTTCAGCCACTCTCATTCTGTCGCGTTCATTCTCTTGTGAACGAAGCACATCTGAAGCTGCAGAACGCGATTCTGTTCGTAATCTTGCATCCTCAAGTCTGGCTGCACGTCGCACCGCACGTATTTGAGTCTTTCTCGGTCTCTGTTGCTGTTTCGCTGATTTCCATCTTTCCTCAATTTCTTTGCAATTACTCTTTCCGTTGTTTCCGCTCGGTGAGTACGACGGCCTAAGCTTGGGCTACTGCGAACTAAGGCAGATCGATTTCGCTCAAAAAGTCGAAAACAGTTATGGCAACAGCATATACAATTGCAAAGTGCGAACTAAAAAACAAATCAAAACATTAAACGTACCAATGGTGTATTAGTATTCAAACGTTGACCAAATTACACAGCGTACTTCCACCGCTTTTTCACTGAAAACGAAATGAAAAATAGCGCAAAAGAAAATCTAACCAATAATCACGAAGTAAACGCCGTGGTAAGCGACACAGCTCAATTTTAGCGCAGTCACACGAAATAGTTTACCTTAGCGAGTTACAATCTAACTGCATTGACCCAGCTCAGTATCTGTCAAACACATCTACCCATAAGTAGTACGAAACCAAATGAATCGAAACCGATGTATAAATTTAGCATTAAAATGTATTCCTAAGGTAGACATTTATTCCATTATAAATATTTATAAACCTGACCTTAGTCGAATGCCACGTTGTGTCAAACTTTAAAGTAATCTATGAATAACTTCGGAGCTTTGCTGCGAAGTTCCACTTGGAGATTTACATTGTTATTTGTGGATATATATATATATATATATATGTATATATATACTGAATAGTGTATTATAGCGCAAGTAGAAATGAATTCTGTACAACTCTTTCGAAATATGGTGAAAAACGTTATACAAGTTGCCAACCGTGAATATCGTTGTCGTTCTCATGTAACATTTAAAATATCTGACTTACGATATTTCAGGACTCACAAATGGGATATGTCATCGTAAGTGTGCAATCGTTTTCTGAATCGAATAGCGGTAAAATATAAATCTAACAACGTTTTGAACTGCTGCACAGATTTTGCCTCAATCACATGTTCAGGTAAACTGTTTCAAATGTTTGCCACTCTCCGTTCGAAGCACAGTTGGTGGGGAACACATTTCACACCTGGCACGACAAGTTTGTATCTGTGTCCGCGTGTGCTGCATGTCCCTCGTAAGTGCAGCATTGGCCTTAGCATTGGGAAGTCACCGAGATGTAGAATACGGTAGGTCATAATGAGGTAGACTCGCATCCGGCGGTAGGACAAGGTGTAGAGTCCTAGGTTCTCGCACTGGTCTTCATACCCAAAGCCACGTAACCTCGGGATGAGCCTGGTAACAACGTGTTGGACCTCTTCGATCTTTTGTGCCTCGCCTTGGGTAATCGGAAAGTAGGCAAGTGGCAACCTCTTCAGACCATGTGCCGAAGCTACTTTTGAGCACCCAAAGTATGCGCAGTCTGTTACGAAATCGTAGCGTGAGTGTACACCTGATTGTGGGTTCGTCGCATCCAGTTCCAAATCAGATAGTCGTCCACATGCCCGGGAAAGCTTTAGACTGCAGTCTCAGCCTGTTGGGCATCGTCAGTAGTGCGCGTCCATCGGATCTATAAGGGTTCGAACCCATGACCACCAGCGGCTTGCACCGCTACTCTAGCAGCTTATCCACTGGGCCACGGCGGACAGCTTCGGACCGTCATGATTTGCAAGCTAACTGCGATCTAGCGCGTCTTATCCTCCATTGTCATGCAAGTTACCAGTTGGCCCCGAAAGACATGACGTCCATTGACAGCAGCAATGTACGACGTAGCATATCAAAACCTCCTACTCATGACTACATCAAGATATATATACGTTTCTTTTTGGAACTTGGTTCGGATTGCTGATGCCCCAGGGTACTTGGCCTTTCACATAGCACCAATATTGGGAAACCTTAAATACCCAAAATCTGCTTACCTGATGCATGCTCTCCCATTGGCTGGGACCTCAGGATCCGTTACAGTAGTGCTTAAAGATCCTATCTGTTATAACGCAGTGGTAAACCTAGTGTCACATTTGTGTTCATCGCAACCTACTACTTTTATCTTTTTCATTATTGGTCGTGACATATGTTCATTTCTTACGAGTTTAACCACCTTTTGTTGGGTTTCAATTTAATGCTTTCATCGCACTTCGGTGCTCGGATCGTTGTTTGCACCTGACCTGCACCTGACACTTTCGTGTCGTGTTATTGCAAATACGTTTTTCTTTAACAGGCTTCCAAATGCTGTAGTATTTGTGCAGCTTTTTAATTTTCAATTACTCTGTGTTGAAAGCGCCTGTATTTTGCTGCGAAATCCTCTTCATCATATTGTCTCTGTTGTCATCTGTTTCACCCTGCGACAGTTTCTTGGTTGTCTCGCTGCCAGCATTTAACAGTTGCGTATCCAAACGGTTAAAAACTACACCTCTTGAATCCATTGTATGTTTTTCTGACCCCTTAGCTTTTTTGAATGTTCAACTTTTTGTTGCTATGTCTAGATCCCACATATTATCTGATCATCTCTTTCGTTCTGTTTAGGGCACCACACTGGCAACCATCGAATGTATATCCTTACTCATCAGAAACTCATATGCATGCATGCCTTGGATACTTTTCTTTCTTCAACTTGAACGGACAGAAAAGGCCGTTTACCGCAACGTTTTGCTCCTCGTGCTGTATATCGTCCTAAAAGTAAGTCAACACCTTAGACAGTGTGGCATTTTTAGACTCACCTTTCTGTGCATTCCGTTGCCTTACACTATTCAACCCTGTTTATCGCATCTGGGTTGTGAGAACGCCGTTTTACCATTCGTTATAATCCTTTATTATCACTAAATCAAAGGCTGTGTTTATATTCTTGACTAAGGTTCTTTTTGTTTTATCTCTTCTGCTTCAGCAGCGACTCCGCCTATTCCACTGCATTCTGAACCTAAATATTGTGTGTGGCTGATAGTCTAGTTGTTACGCTGTTCATTTAACTGGGCACTTTGATTGCAAACGTTTTTCCACCATTACAAGTGACTTCATCAGTGCGGGAGTGTTAACAGCTTGGTAGCAAGAACTGCTGGACTTCAAATCCTAGAATGGATCGTCCCCCTCTTACAAAACTGCTAATTATCCCGCATTAGTGAATCGTTTGTACTTAAAATGCCCATCCCAGTGAATACCACAGGAACTGGACAGGCCACCCGGGCCCCCAATAGTTTAAGTTCGGCTCAGAACCTGGTCACCCAAATAAACTTTTATTTGACGTTGTGACTCAGACTACGTAGTCATTGTCTTAAGATCGGTGTCCTCGAACAAACTCCTACTCTCGGAATCGGCAACTTCGGAGAGCCTCTGCCCACACATCCTATTGCGAATAGTCCTTTCTCTTCCTCGTCTTCCATTACTGCTTTTCACTGGATTTCAAAAGACCACTATTAGATATATTAGCTGCGCTAGCAAGGGATCCAAATCATCACACTATCCTGGGCTTCTGTTCCACACCGGGTCTTTCAGTTTCCGCACACCGCCTGAACTCGGCCAACAGACGACACGTGTTAACTTCTCCCCATCTGAATCAATGTGCTGCTCTTCGGAATCGCGCATATAGGGCAACGGTACCCTACTGTTTCTACACCAACCACACCCTGGTCCCAATGACGGAGGTCGCATCCTTCGCGTCTCCTGTGATGCGTCGTTGATGCCTCGCGACATTTAGGGCGTTGGTGTCGTCTTCTAGGAACGTACAAAGACTTGTCTTGACGGAATCTCAATGCACAACCGAATGTATGCAACTCGATAACGTGTCTTCTCATTTTTTCGGCTTGTATTTTTCTCGACCGGACCTTAACCTAGTGCGATGGTTCGCATTCACCTATGACCCAAGGGCCTACGCTGCGTAACACCGTCCAAATGCATTCACAGTTACTCATGTCAGGCATTTCAATCGTTAGTGGTCGGACAAACTTAGCACCCCCTTCAGGAGTTGGCGGGAGGTCTGTGATCCATTTCCTTTAAAACCTAACCAGACAACAGGTGACGGATTATGAATTCAAAATTCGCTTGACATCAGCCATGAGTTCTACCCACCGTCTCTGACGTTAGAAGGGAACCGCCCCGGTGCTCACTGGTTTACTACCGCACGCCTCAAACTGACAGCCCATGGTCACATTGGTTCAACCTGCTACCTTCCACCAGTGGTTGGTCGTGATCGCAGGTACGTAACACGCTGTCGTCGAGATGCATGTATGGGTTGTTCCACATCTTCAAGGGCTGCGTCTGACCGTTATCAAGCAAACAGATATGTCGATGGCTGAAGCTAGCACACTTTGAACTGAATACTGAGAATAGAGAGCGAGAAGATAAAAATCTGTGTTGCTCCATCGTAGGTGGATCGAGCACATGCGCGGAATCACGTCGCTGATTCCTGCGCGGTGGCAGCATATTGCAGCTGCACTACATCTTATCCGGGTGCGATACGCTCCCTATACCTGTAGTCCGCAAAGTGGGCGTCAAGGAATCTCTTAAATTCCGACACCGATTTCGCCTCGACTAGCGTCTCCGGCAATTTGTTCCAATATTTCACCACTCGACGCTCGAAGCATAGAGGGTGAGCGATGCGCTTTAAATCCGGTACCACTAGTTTGTACCGGTGTCCGCGTGTGCTGCTTGGTGCGCGAACGTGCAGCAGCGGCTTCAACATAGGGAAGTGGCCCAGGTGCAGTATCCGGTGCGTCATAATGAGATCAACTCGAAGCCGACGATATGACAGGGTATAAAGCCCTAGTCTCCTACATCGGTCCTCGTACGACATACCCCGTAAACTGGGGATGAGCCGGGTAGCTACATGCTGGACCCGTTCCAGTCTCTGCACCTCACCTATTGTGATCGGGCAATAGGCGGGTGAGCCGTACTCAAGCACCGGTCTTATTATGGAAGAGAACAGACGGGTGGCAATCTCTTCAGACCAAGTGCAGAAGCTGCGTCTAAGTGCCCAAAGCAGGCGTAGTCCGTTTGCGTAGTCTGTTCGTGTTGTCGACAGACTTCAGATCACAGCGTGAGAGTACGCCTAGATCCTTTACGGAACTGGTGGGATGCAGCGGGTGGCCGGCCAGGGTGTACGCACGCCCATTACCACCCCTCCCCAGGCTCATAAACGAGGACTTGGCCGTGTTGACCGGTAGGTCAACTTCTGCAGACCACCGGGATAGGCGGTCGAGGTCCTGCTGAAGGACGTCACAGTCGCCGGGAGAATCAATAATCCTCCAAATCTTCAGGTCATCTGCAAATAATACGCAGGGCGACCGAAGAAGCTGAGGTACTTCGTTGATGTGGATCAGGAATAAAATGGGCCCCAGTACTGTGCCTTGGGGTACGCCGCTAGTGGACGGGTACCATTCCGTTAGGTGGTCATCCACCTGAACCCGCCATCTTCTCCCAATAAGGAAGTCACTGATCCACTGGTGCAGTGCGCCACCAACACCACACATCCTCAGCTTGTGGAGCAGGACCTCATGGTTCACTTTATCGAAAGCTTTACTGAAATCAATGTAGATAACATCCACTGACTTCCCCCGATTCAACGCTTGCAACCATTCCTGCCGCGTCAACAGCAGGTTGGTGATGCACGAGCGGCCCTTCATGAAGCCGTGCTGTGCCGGCGTTAGGAGATCTTTCGACTCCAGCAGCTGGAGAAGACCCTTTTTCACAATCTTCTCGAGCACCTTCGCCAAAACAGAGGTGAGACAAATCGGCCGGTAATTGTCCACATTGCGTGGGTCACCGCCTTTTGGAATCGGCTTCACTACCGAGCATTTCCAGTCGCTCGGCAATGCACCCTCGGACAGCGATCTGTTGAACAGATCCGTCACGGCAGGCGAGATGATGGCCGATAAGGACTTTAAAATTAGCGGGTGAAGTCCATCGGGTCCGGCAGGTTTTGTGCCATCAAGACTGGCGAGTAGACTGCGGACATCTTCTACACCGCAATCAAGGCCCTCGAGTTCAGTAGGGGCTGCACACGTCGAGCTCGGCATAGGCGCATGCCCACTTGTATATACGGAAGCGAAGTGCTCCGCCAATGCGGACGCACGTTCAGTGCTGGAGGTCAGAGGCTGTCCGTCAGTGCCCTCTAACACAGCTACGTCACTTGCGGACCTCAGGCGCCGCTTCACATAAGCAAAAATCTTCTTGGGGGCCGTCTTCGCTGAGGTTGCAAGCTCCTCTTCGAACTGCCGATGCTTTCGCGCTTTTGTGCCGTTGCATAGGTTCTGCTGTCTTTTGTACACCTCATAATCGTCGGCAGAGCCGGAGATGAGGAATTTATTCCACAATACGCATCGCCGACGAGCCATTTGACTATACTCTCTATCGAACCGATGTGGCTTCACTGCCACAGCCTTCTGATACTTGAGTGGTACGAAACGAGTACACAACGATTATACACCCTCTTCTATAACAGACCAACAGGCTTCAACAAATGAATCCTGCAGTAGCGACCAGTCTACTTCACTAACGGCTCTATTTAGACCATTGAAGTCGGTCTTCCAATGATTGTAGGATGACTCCGGCAGACGCGAGTAGGTCAGCGGAAGCTCTAGGCTGGCTAACACCATCAAGTGGTCACTAGCTGCTAGAGACTCCAGGGTCTGAATTTCATGTGCACGCTGCTCACAACTAGTTAGTAATAGGTCCAGGCACAATGGAGCGGAATGCGGTGTAACACGCGTCGGTTGGCAGGCATGTTGTGCTACTCGAGTTTCAGATACCATCTTCGCAAACTGTGCCTCGACTTCACAGTGCCCGGGGAGAAGTTGAACCTCGGGCCACTGTATTCGAAGGAAGTTAAAATCACCCATAAGCAGAAAGCGGGACCGACTCATGTATCTTCTGACATGCAGCAATCTATCCAAGCATGGACTTAGCGGGCTACGATAAGCAGCACCCACAAATACTTCACCTGTCTCAGGCGGGTCGAGCACCATAACAGTTCGTACAAGCTACCTTCGCTACGGTAGGTGTGCACCAGTCTCCCGCATAACTGGAACCGAATGTGTAACAGCATGCTGCCTCGATCGTCTGATAGTCTATCGCACCGGAAGCGCTAGTAGCCACTGATCTGGACTTCCTGGTTAGTAACCTCAGGATTTAATCAGGTTTCGGCCAGTCCTAGTACGGCCCGACGAAGTGAAATACATCGTCACGTTTGTTCATTAAACTACAAGCGTTTGTGAAGCGTACGCGCAGACCGCGGTAGGAACCAGCAAACGCGCATGCAGCGTCGTCGATCTGTTGATCCGTGTTCGGCGGACCCGGGGAACTACGCGCAAATTTACGATGTGGAGATTGGTTTCTCCACTATCAGTCCGCCGCTTCAAATCCACAATAGTGTACTTCAGTTTCTCTCTGTCCGACGGATCCAAATCTGGACGAATATGGATCTTTAGACCTCTTAGCCGACCGAAGCAGATTAGTATCAGCCTCGGATTCGTTGCATCAACAAACGTGACTCGCAGAGGCCTTGATTTCCCCTCCTCTCTCTTTCCAGGACAGGTGATTTGCTTCACCCGCAACCCCTGTTCATTCACTTCGAGAAGCCTATCAGTCAGGCTCTGCAGAACATCCACCACGGGGTCATAACGAGCTTGAGGACTAGCATCTGTCGACTCAGGCGCGTGAAATACAACAACACCGCTGATTGCTGGCAGTTCTCTTCTCCTCTATACTTCGGTGCATTCTCCATTGGCCTTCAGCGCCTGTGCTATCGCACACCGGTATGTTGGTGTCCGTAGGACGCAATACAGGCACGCCAGCTGTTTGCAGCAACTAGTGGACATCGCGCTGGAGAGCATGCAGCCGGTGTGCAGGTGGGCTCGTTCGAACATAGTGACTGGGTTTCTGCTTGCTTGGATGACCCCACGAAACTCCTCTCTCATGATAAGTTCGACTCGCAAATGACGATAGACTAGGGTGTATTGTACTAGGCTTCAGTAGTTGTCCTCCTATGGTAGACCCTGTAAACTGGGGATGATCCTAGTAGCCAAGTGGTGTACCCGTTCAATCTTCACCGCCTCACCTTGGGTGGTGGGCAATAGGCGGTAGGCAATAGGCGGGCGGGCGGGCGGGCGGGCCTTATTCTAACATAGGTTTGATGGGGGGGGATAAGATGCGAGTGGTTGCCTCATCATATCGGATGCAGAAGCTGCCTTTGAACGCCCAACGCATGCGCAATCCGTTTCGGTGTAGCCTGTTCGTGTTGTCAACGGACAAATCGCAGCATTAGCGTACACCTAACTCCTTCACGGAAACTGCGGGGTCTAGCGGTTGGTCCTCAATGGTGTACATTCGGCCGTCACTACTCTTCCTCATGCTGATAAATACAGACTTGTATGTGTTGGCCAGGAGGCTTACTTCTGCAGAGCACATGCAGAGGCGGTTAAGGTCTTGCTGAAGTAGGCCGTAGTCGTCGGAAGTGCCTATCACTCTCCACATTCTTAGGTCATCTGAAAACAGGGCACACAGCGACCGAAGAAACCAAGGTAGATCGTTGATATAAACCGGGAAATATGTATACCCCAGCACCATGCCTTGGGTTAGGCCACTGGTCGATGGATACCAGTCGTTCAGATGGCTATCGACTTGTACCGTCCTTTCGTCCAACAAGAAACTTGCGAATCCACTGATGCAGTGAGCCGCCCACACCACACACTGTCAGTTTGACGCAGTAAATTCAATCAGAAAATCGTCACATCCTCGCTAAGAAGCAAAGGTGTGCACGCATCAAGCCCCACGACTATGAGCACTAAGTCTAACCTTGACGGCTTCTTCACAGCTTTTGCCTTGTGGACATATTGGGTGCTTGTATAAGGGTGTGTTGAAAGCTAACTCGTGCGGACAAACTTTGAATCGTTCACTATCGGTTGCTGGTATTTCCATATGATGAATGTTGAAATTTCCTGCATTGAAGATATTTTTGTATTTCTGATCTCACAATACACAAAGTCCATATTAGCCGTTTGCCCATTTTCTGAGTGGCTTAGGGCAGTCAGTAAACTGCGGACACAAGCTATGTTGTCGTCCTCCAGCCCTAGCCGTCTCCGAAAGGAATTAGTGACACTTTTGAGGATCATCCATAGATTCACATTTAATGTTTGTTCCATAATCTATCACTACTTTTCTCTTTCTATTCTATCGTCCTGAATGAGCGACCTACCGAGTAGAAGTATCTCCGAGTCCGTAATCTCGCAGTTCGGTCACACCATGGTGTATGTTTAGGCGGACATGGTGAGTGAAGTTGTGAAGTGGCTCAGAATTCTTGAATTTGTTTGCTGCGTTCGCCATCGTATGAAGGAATCAAAGGAGCTCTTCGAATTGGATGACCTTCCTGAAGTAGGAAAGATCTTCAGGAATGGGAAGAGGAAGTGACTTTATTTAGTGGTGAGTCACATCCGCCACGTCGCGATGTTCTTAAGCAGACCTTTGTGGCTTTTTATAGGGAGAACGCTTGCCAAGCGAAAACCTGCCACTTCCTGGAACACTGCTGCTGAACTATTCGCTAGAACAGGATTAACCCGAACCACCCACCTGGCATCACGTGGAGGTTGTTCGGCTAGCCAGCCATGTGTCGGGTGGTGGCGATGGGTTGCGCAGGTGAGCACTAGTCGAATGTAAACTGTTGGTCAAGTCGGCACAGACGGTTGCACATGTTCCTTCGCCTAATGTGTGCTCCTGACCGATCACTTTACGAGGAGCACATTGTATTCTCTTTGGTTTGTATTCTGATCGCCTTGCTGTTAGTCCTCGAGTTGTCAGTTGGGTTGTCCATGCAACTTAATCCTTGTTTCGCTGGAGACATTATGGGAAATTGCTCGCATCCTGTACCCGTACTGTATTTCATGTTGTCCCCTGGCTGGACTGGTTGTTTCGAGCGTGTATGGTGTTTCAAACATGACTCGTGCGCTGTATTAACTGTTATTATCAATTATTGCATCTCCTCCACAAAGCTATCTAGTTGCCTACTCCTCCTCGTTGAAGGAGCCTTAGCACACGTAGGCTAGTTCACTACCGAACTTGATAGTGATTTTTACGCTTTTGCTGTTTCCTCTTTGCTACCACATTTGCATTCCACTCCTTCATTACGAACCGTTTGTAGAAGGATTTTTTGCGGTCTCACTAGTACACAGCTCTTAGTTGACTGCAGTTACGTCCCTAAATGCAACTTGTTTCCCTATCTCCCTGTCTTTATTTGATGGAACACTTAGCAACTTGTAAGGAGTAATTCTATCTGCGGCTCACTACTACTTACAAGTCCACCTGATTACTGTTTCTGTTGACTGTTCCCTTTGTTTTTATCTTTTTTAGCTCATTTCTTTCCTCCACTGTGTATGGACTGTTAAAGGCCTTCTGCTTGGTCTGTACGCCGATCCGGTAAGTTGTTCTGGTTGTCGTTTGAACTTCCGTTAGGATTTGTGACACATTGATAAAGCTCGTTGCTGACCGTTCTTATCTGGCCTTTACAATTTCCATTTTGGCCTCTATATATCCTGCTGTTGGGGTTAGGTTCTGACCAGCACTTCAAGTCTACTTCAGAACTCTTTCCATGTGCTACTTGTACATCTCGGACACCGCGTTACCACATCTTCGCCCGGTTGCTCGCCTTACGACACTTCATCCGAGACATTTGAGCGCCATCTCTGAAATATCCCTGACATAAATGCACCTTTCTGCTGATCCCATGTTTTCAGTTTATCTACTTGTTATTCATCAACCAGGGCTTCTTATATGAAGTTTCGATATTTTTCCTCCATTTTATCACGTGATATGCATTGAGCTATTTATGTCCCCATAACTCTCCGTTGTTTGCTTTTGGCCATTTCCAGATTCCTAACCTCACTGCACTTCCTACTTGCGAGTTTCACTGGTGCATGCGGCTGACCTGTATACATGTCACCTACTACGATTACGCAACTTTTATCGAATCTATCCGTACCTTATGAAGGACAAGCAGACGGGATACTTGCTTTACACTGACCATAAGCTGTTTTTCATGCATGGGGAGATTGTTGTCCATCTCGTGACACACTAGTCATCTAGCCTGTGGAACGTCACCACTTCACAATTCTTGTCGACGGATCGATAATCATCTGGTGTGTTCATTCTAGGGGGTGAACTTAGCTAGTACGCGGGGTGGCCCTTCTGTGTCTGAATACTGTGTCCGTTTATCTGGATAATCCTTGCACATCATAACACGATAATTGGATGCAAACAGCCTCCCTTTGGTCTACCCTTCATTATTAACTGATACTGAGACCATTTAGCAACAGTCCTTTTAGCGACGCATTGGATTGTTTGTTAAATTGGAATGGATTACGCTACTCCGGTCTTATGTCTGGAACCACATTGTCTCGGTATGAATTTTCTTTCAGTGATGCGACTACTTCGCTGTTGGAGTATGAGAGCTTAAAGTTATCCAATGAATAACTATAACAGGCGTGTGTCATGTGTGGAGGCCTCGGAATCCATCACATCAGTGGTTAGAAGCCCTGCTCTCACTGAAGTGCGTTTATGAAGTTGGCGGTGCTATTGCTTACGCATTGGCTTTTTCGATTGACAATATCGACTCCTTGCTTGCCACTGAGGATTTTTTTGCATTTATCGGTCTTTTTAGTGCCATTTCCTAAATTTTACAAACAAGCAAATTGGATTCACTTCAGTGAGCACAGTTAATCAATTGTACTGAACGTAACAGTTACATTGACACCTCAACACTAGAACGGCCGCTCCGTCGCTCTACCTAGAACGCCCGAGACCGGTCAACTGACCATATTACTGTATTTGTTTATACTGACCTTTTTGATTACATATATTAAAAACAAGTCGTAAAAATGTTTGTAAATGACGCATAATTTGTCATAAATGTGAAAACAATCATACTTATTCAGATGAAAATTGGGTGTTGCGTGCTCGCAAACACTGCACAACCACGACGCGTTCCGATCTGATTTGATCACATCAGGTGGAGATAGCAGCAGGCCTCGCAGTGACCACCATGGTTCACTTTAATGTGAATCGCAGTCCACATTGGGGTTGCACATCGCAATCCATTCTCACGACGTGTAATCCAAAATGTCTATGATGAATTAGTTGAATTATTCTGGTTTACGATTGAAACAGGTGACAACTCTCTCAACTTGTCCAAATGATCCACAAACTATATTTTCGTATACAGGGCACTTGTTAAGTAATTTGTTACTTTTACAGTAACTGATCTCACACCACAGACGTTTCTTTGTCTCACGACTTTCCGACTGGACTGTGGTGTTCGGCGTATGTCTAGTTGTCACGTTCCTTGTCTCAAGCATCGGTGCACACAGTTCTTCCGCTAGACCCATCGGATACTTCCGGCGGGGTAATTCATTTCCGCAGACACTATCATAAATGATCCAGGAATGAATGCCTACCAAATCCAGCACTTTGAAGAATACTTGGATTCGCCGTCGTCGAGATGTTATTACCATTCAGTTGAGTATATCTACCCCATACTACGTGGAGTTGTAAAACAATACAATCTCAGGCTTCTTTCCAGACTATTGCATGGAAGACTTAATGTGCAAGGAAATGAAACTAAAACATTATTTGTTTTGCACTGCTACGCTTATTTTACTTTCATTTTTATTCTTCATGATGTTTGAAGTGAACAACCCTCAACTGCTTTGCTTCAAACTCGTCGGTACATCGCTTCTCTTAGCTCGAATTGTTCCTACCACAATTATTTGTCGTAGAATGTATTACTCCTACTACTGCAGCTGTGAAGTTGTCACATGAGACATTGTAACCTGTTCAAAAGTAGGGTGACATAAGACACAATACCATGCTCTCTGGAACACTGTCTTCACGTGGCCGAGGTTCGTCCTTTGCGGGATGTAGAAATCCATTTACGATATATTTGCTGTCCACTTCTGCCAGAATGCAAAACTTGCTACCGTACTTATCAGGTTTGTTGTCCATGTACTGAACAAAACGACAACGGGTTTTGATGTGAAACAATTACTCCTTGACGATGAGGTTTTACGCTTAGAATAAATGCATTTTATAATTCATGCATTAAAGCAAGCTTGTCAGTCTGCTATCTTTCACCTATGGTTGTTCACATATCAAAACGAAGGAATCTCATTACTTCCTTGAATTTGTTCTTTCTAATTGTTTCCCTGAAAACAATCAGTCCGTATTTCTCGTACCACAGCATATTTAATCGCATCTTCAAGCTCATAAGCCTCTGATTTAAAGCGGCCTAATTAAAAACCGCAGCTAAGTAACACTTACGTTTCACTGACAGCTAACACTTAAAACTCTCCTGGTCTCACCTTCAGCATTTGGGATGTAATTATGATAATTATGATATTCAGTGCACTAAAGCGCTCACTATATTTCACACAATTTTTGGGGTAGGCAGTTGATCCTGGTCTTGCCTTGAAAACCTTCTGTGCTGCCATCCTACCAACGGCAGTCGTTCGGAACTCTATTGTAGTCCACCATGCACTATCTTTTGTTACGTGAACTTCACTGGAAGATGCAGATATGTTTTCATAGCTTGCGCCGTCATCACTGTCCTCATGAGAAGTCTCACTGTCAGAACCGACTATCACAGATATTTTGATTTTCCGCGGACTCATGGATAGTAAAGTCATCCTCATCAACATCATGTTCATTCTCATCTGCAGACTCTTTATGATCAACGGCTGTAACCTCTTAGAACTCTATTAGGTATTCCTCCTGCCATTGTGAATAAAGGTGGTCTGAATAGACAAAAAGAGGAATTAAAGAAACGCGGTGATTGTGACCTCCTACGGGCTTTCTATGTAGCAAGAACACAAATCCTCTTTTCTCTCAAAAACTAGCAGATAGCAAAGGGAAACTGAAGTTATAAAGTACGCCTGAAACGCTAATAGTCATGGAGTATCTTGGCACCTCCATAGCCTCAAACATCACAAACCTGCCTTGTGTTCTGATGGCACGAGTTCGAGCCCGCGTAGGTTACCGGGCGACCACCGCAGTATCTATAGCCCACACGGAACTGTTGGTTGTTACGCAACAGCGAAGTGTCAGTACTTAGTACCGACGCTTCGCTGTTTCGAATGTTACGAATGTGGAAACTACGCACGTATAACAATGCCCGGAGCGGTCATTTTGACCGCGACAACACTGCGCTTTTGAAATCAAAACTAGTGAACTAGCATCAGATGGACCATCAGTGTTTCGCGGTTTCACCCCTGTCTTGCAGTGGTGTGCGTGTTTAAAGCCTTGTTTATGGCGCAGGAAAAGCAGGTGAGCTACTTAGCTCCTTGATTTCACTCGCTAGGCTCTGATGTCAAGACCATATGTTACGCATGCAGCACACCGACTCTCACCACCTCCCTTGTTTACGCAACAGGTGTCTGGACTGAAGCTGAGGACTGGTTACTAAGAGTTGACTTAGTCAAAATGGGATGAACGTTCTGGCTTCGAAATTCACCTCTTTTGGATCTTCTACACTTTAATAATAATGATAATGTGCCAGTTGTACGCCATAACGGTGCTTCGCTGCCGCGCGACCACCACCAGTCGCGCGCGGACTGAGTATATCGCGAGGACGCCCACCCCTACGCGGATTCGAACCGGAGAACTTAGTTGCAAACCAGGTGCGCAGACCACTGGGCCACCGGCCGACTTTCGACTCTTTGGTTGGGGTCCTAAGGACGATGAACAATTTTATTTGGGCACTCTTTTAAGCATGCTTCTGCGTCCCGAACGGAATCCATGTTGCTCTTCTGCCACGTTCGGTTCAACGATCTGAGTGACGAGGTGGTTGAGCAGGATTCGGACGATTCAGTAAGTTGATACCACAACGCTTACGTAGATCTCGGAACAAGACTGCGTGCTAGTATGAAGAGAGACCGCGACTCCTGGTGATCTCATCGTGCATCGGAAATGGAAACAGCCGCTGCCGTTGGTAACCAACGTAAGTTATTTCGTTTGATACGGGAGACGGGTAGCAACAGACCTAGTGTTAGCGTGACCATACGCGACGAGAATGGACAGCCTGTCAAAGTGCTTTGGTCGCTGGGCTGAACAGTTCGAAATGCAGTTCAATTAACAGGACCTTCTTTGCCCTTCTTCTTATGCTCTTCTTCTTGATCCGCCCTCACGCGTAGATGTCGAACGTGGAACCCGAAGTAGATAGACTTCCTCTAGCCCTTTTCGAATTCGTGTCTTAGCTCTGGTGTTTGATTTGCTCAGCTTACTGGTGAAGCTGTATGTGCAGGATGCTGTAACAATCGACTGGAGCCGCTCCGTTATAGCCTCGATTTTCAAGAGAGCCTAAAGCTTCAAAATACGACAGTCATAGAGGATTCAGTCTGATCTCTATTCTCTCCAAGTTACTTGAGTCT